AGTGTGTGTGTGTGTGTGTGTGTGTGTGTGTGTGTGTGTGGTGGACTGTGCAGGTTTCAAACTCACTTGAGAAGACGGTTGGGGTCAATCTCGCGCTCATCCTCGTGGTAGCCGTTGAGAATGTCGCCGCGGAAGCTGGGCATCTCCCTCCCATTGACCATCTCCGTCGGGCTGGAGCGCGGCTTGGCGTACTGGCCAGCCATGCGGCCGATGCGGACGACGCGCTTGTTGGTGCCCCAGATGAGCACGACGCTCATCTGCAGCAGCAGCTTGATCTTGGACTCGATGGCCTCCTGCTCACAGTAGTCAAACAGCTCGGCGCAGTCGCCGCCCTGCAGCAAAAAGGCGCGGCCTTCGGCCACGTCCCGTAGGTGCGCCTTGAGCGCGTGGATCTCGGACGGGTGCACCAGCGGCGGCATGCGGGCGAGCGCGGTGACGGACTTGCGCAGTGCGGCCGGGTCTGGATAAGCGGGCGCCTGCTTGATGGGTTTGGCACGCCATGTGGTGGGCGTCCAGGCGGCGGCAGGGACAGCGTCGTCGAGGACGGCGGGAATTGGCGGTAAGGAGGCAACCATGGTGGCGGCTGCACGGGGAGATGGGTGGCGATGGTTTGATATCGATGATGGTAAAGCGGAATGATGTGGTTGGGTGACTCAGTCGGCGCGGGGCTGGAGGTGTGACGTAGTTTTGAAGATTCGAAAATTTTCAAGGCGTACCTGACATCAGTTGCAGCCGGGCCAAGTGCAAGACACAAGATAAAATCAATATGCCGCAGAAGATGAAAGACTGTGTCGACTGTGTCGTTATCCGGTATCTGATTTGTCCTACCATAGAGAAACAATGTAACTAAGCTTGCCGATCTGTACCACTGCGACAACGGACTATTGTTGCTCTGCGCCCGCTCGCCTTTGATTGGCCGAATATATTGTGACCCCGTATTCACAGAGAGGGCTCACTGGCTAACCAAAAATTGCAGGGCACGGAACTTTTGGCAACCCACTGTATATACTAACCTACTGTTAAGGACTGGCCTAGGGCATCTGCAGATAGGCGTCGCAATAGTATTAACTCTCTTACGGAGTAAGAGAGGAGGGAAAGCTAGTCTGTCTATCTGCTATAGCATATAAAGGGGGCGCGCCAGGGGCGCGCCCATGGTGGCCTCAGGCCAAGCCTAGCCTGGAGTGGGCTGGAGCCCAACTCCTTCACATTAAGAAATAAAAGATACTATAGGGTAGTATCTTCTAAGCCTATATCCTAACTTTTAAAAAGGTGGTGTTAATGTAGGAAGAGAGTTGAAGGTAACTAGGTAGGTAGGCAGTCTTCTCCGCGTCCATGTCATTTACCTTTAGATCTGAACTTAGACGACAACAATAAGTACGTTTTGGGCAGTCTTCAAGCTCACAATGTCGTCGTGGCGTATCCAAGTTCCGGCGTGGGTGACTTGGCCAGACAGTTACAGGCGAGCTACACAGCTGTCCAGTCGGTTATGGCCGAATGAAGAGGGTAGGTTGTAGGCCTCGGTGGGTTCTTTACCCACGATTAAACCAACGAAAGCCCTATGAATCCTGTTAAACAGGTCTTAAAAAATTTAGAATGAAGTGCGAAATACAAGTTTAGGGTTCATATAGGTCCCCGCAGGCGCCATTTGCCTTTTTACGGGTTCCCCTTGGCGTAAAATAGCAAATCAATCAATCACTCACTCCATCGCCCCCGCCATCGGCACTCCCCAATCCCTCGCTTCATCCCACCACCTTGGCCCCAAAGTCTCCCAAACCACGCATCCCCAGACCAAACCACCACCACAAAACCAACGCGCCATGGCCGACGAGCAAGCCCCCGTGCCCGCCAACGCCGAGGACCGCAAGACCGCCAACGCCCTCGCCAACCTCGACGACAGCCGCGACGACACGTCCGCCTCGTCGGCTGCTGCCCCCGTCGACCTCGCCGCCGTATCCAAGGCCACCAAGGGCCCGGCCGCCACCAAGGACGCCGCCTACAAGAACGTCAAGGTCGAGGCGGCCGACGTCGCCCTGCTCGTCGAGGAGCTGGAGCTGCCGAGGCCCCGCGCCACGGAGCTGCTGAAGCGCCACGAGGGCGACGCCGTCAAGGCGATGCGCGCGTACGTGGCGGGTGCGTAGGGAGAGCGCAACGACCGAACGAAGAGAGAGAGAGAGAGAGAGAGAGAGAGAGAGAGAGAGAGTCGA